GCTCTCTCTGACTCTTTTACCAGCTTTTAGGACCCTATTCCTCATACTGGGTTACCTTGTCCAGCCTTAATACAAGGGGAGGTACCTATCATTCAGAGACCAAAGAAGCTAATTAGCAACTTGATATGCTGTATTTGGTTGCTATCCATGGGAGACCCGCCCTTTTCTAAACAGCAGCGTGGATGGCAGAAGAGAGGTAGGGGAGGAGGAGAGACTGGGGGAGAGGAAGGAGAGGAAATTGTAGTAGGGATGTAAAGAATACAAATAAAACCATTTTAAAAATTAAGTTTTCATTAATGTAAACTAATCAAAGATGTTAGCTGTAATCCTTAATTCCTAATGATATTCCCCTATTGTCATCAGAGAAGCACTGTTAACAACTGATGGGAACAGATGCAGAGACCCACAGCCAAGCACTAGGCGAAGCCAGGGGAACCCCACTAAGAATAGGAACCAGGGGGCTTAAGGACAGCACGAGAACAAGACCCACAGAATCAACTAAGCAAGGCTCATAGGGGCTCACAGACACTGAGGTGAGAAACACAGACCCTGTATGGGTCCGAACTAAGTCCACTGCATATATGCTGTGTTTGTTTAGCTTAGTGTTCTTGTGGGACAACTAACAGTGGGAGTGAGGTTATCTCTGACTCCTCTGCCTACTCTTGGGGGCCCTTTTCCTCCTACTGGGTCCTACTGGGTCACCTCATCCGGCCTTGATATGAGAGGTTATGCCTAGTCTTTTTTTTTTTTTAAATCTATTTATTATGTATATAGTGTTCTGGGCACCAGATCTCATAGATGGGTGTGAGCCATCATGTGGTTGCTGGGAATTGAACTCAGGACTTCCGGCACAGCAGTCAGTGCTCTTAACCACTGAACCATATTGTAACTTGTTATAATGTGTTCAGTTGCTATCCCTGGGAGGCCTGCTGGTTTTCTTTTCGGGGAGGGGATGTGAAAGTGAGAGGGGCTGGGAGGAGTGGAGGTAGAGGAAACTGCTTTTGGGATGCAAAGTATGTAAAAAAATAAAAAAAAAGATAATTAGGAAGGGAATAAAGCGTGCGTGCGTGCACACATGCACACACACACACACACACACCAATGGAGGGTGAATCAAAAGTTAATTAAAATGACATACTAGACAAAATTAATTCCATAAATGAATAAAATAATAGATATATATCCTATCTTATCAAAATAACCTAATACATTAAAATAAGCAAACCAAAAACCTCAATCAAAAAGCCATAAGAAGCTATACCCATAAAGTCTCAATAATATGGTTGCCTAAATAAGACCTGCACGATACAATCACAGGCTGACACGCTAACATTTGCAACACTAAACAGACTGGACAGGTTTTGTATCTAAACATGCATACAAACATACACACATCAATTAATGCATGTTTGTATATAAATGTTGTGTAACACTAAATGGACTGAGCGGCTTTTCTATATAAACAAACACATACATACACAGTCATGAATTTGAGAGGGAATGGGATTTAGTTTTGATCCAGTCATTATCTGGCAGAATGATATATTTTTGCATATTTATAAATTTCCTGTGTCTTAGTGATATTATTTTTCTACTTTTTTCCATTTAAAATAGAAGTAGTGAGTGGATATCTTTACTTTTTTTCTCTTGGTGACAAAATTTCAGTCTTTCACCGCTATTATACTATTAAGTGTTAACACATAAATATGAGCAAATAATTTCTGAAAAGAATGTGACAGTAAATAAGTGGGAAAGGGGAGACTCCTTTGAATAACTTGTGCTCAAACATTTATAGGAAGAAAAGTCAATCTCAATCTAGAGCTCATGATAAAAATATCAAGTCAAAATGGATTACAGGTCTAAGTATAAAATGTGTAACTATAAAACCACAAGAAGAAAATACCAGAGAAGGTCTTTTACATCAACAGATACTAGGCAGAGTTCTTAATTCTTATACAGATCCATCTGCACACACAACTAAGAAACTCAACAAGAGTTCAAAGCATTTTCTCTGAGGAGTGAGACCTATATAATGAAAGCTAGAAGATGCAGTTGAAACCAAAAATATAAAAAAGAAACAAAGAGCAGGTAAGCACTCATGACCATTTAGAAGACTTAATACTGTTAAGAAAAACCTCACTAGCCAGAGCTCTCTACAGACTCAATTCATTCACTACCAAAGGGTCAATGATGTGATTTTGTAGAAATAAAACATTCTACTCTAAAATACACATGGAATCTCAAGGGACCACCAAAATAATGAAGAAAATGTGAAAAAATACCTTAAGTATTACATATTATTACTTCCTGATTTCAAAACTTACTACAAAAATTAAAAGACCATGCTACATTCCAGGTGTGGTGGTGCACACCTTTAATCCCAGCACTCTAGAAGTAGAGACAGGCAGATCTCTGTGAACTTGAGGCCAGCTTGGCTACAGAATGAGTTCTAGACAGCCAGGGCTACAAAAGAGAAATCAAGTGTCAAAACAAAACAACAGCGTGCTACTGGCATAAAGTCAGACACATATACCACCAAGAACCCAGAAATAAATTCTAATCCATATGGTAAATGATCTCTGAAGAAAGCAATAAGATCATTCAGTGCAGAAAGAACAATCTTCAAAAAGAACAGTCCTGGGGAACTGAATAGCAACAAGTGACAGGATCCTTATCTTAAGCCATAGGTAAAAATTAACTCAAAATGGATCAAAGACCTAAAGAGTGAAAAATTGATAATAGCTCAGAAGGAAACATAGAGGAAACGCTTTGTAATACTGGATTTGGCAATGACTTCTTAGATATACTAAAAGAGGCATAGACAAAAGAAGAAAAATGAGAAAACACCATGCATTAAAGGATAACAAGAAGAATAAAAAGCAAACACAGAACAAGAGAAAATATTTACAAGTCATGTATCTGAGAAGTGATTAATACCTAGATACCTGAATGGATGTCTTTATAGAAGACACAAAGCCAAACGGTATAATGAAAAACTACACAGTAGCACTTATTAGGGAAATGCAAATAAAAACTATAACGACATACATCATGCCCTTTAAAGTAGCAATTATCCAAAAAGAGAAAACCCAAAAAATAACATGTGTTCGTGAGAATTTAGAAAAATTGGAACTTTTATGCATTGTTGGTAGGAATGCAAAATGACAATCTATATAGAGAACAGTAGAGAGGTTCATCAAAAAATTAAACATAAAATTATTGTAAGATCCAGCAATTCCACTTCTGTGTATGTACTCCAAGAACTAAAAGCAGATATCAAACATTTGTACACCAATGTTCACACCAGCATTATTCACAGTAACTACACTATGGAAACAATTGAAGTATCCACTGACAAATGAATTGATTAAACAAAGCAGTATGTATATACAATGGAATATTATGCAGCCTTAAAAAAGGAATGCAATTCTGACACATGCTACTATATGAAACAGCAACAAAACATTTATGCTAAGTAAAATAATCCAATCGTGTAAAAGATAAATATTGCATGATTTTATTTACAAGTGGTACACAGGGTACTCAAATCCACAAAAACAAGAATGGAGGTTGCTAGAAAGCAGAAGGTAGGAGGTAGAGGAAGTAGCTTTTAATGTGTATAACTTAAAAAGCTCTAGAGATGGGTAGAGGTTATAGTTACAGAATATGAATTTTAACACCACAGAAGTAAATACTTAAAAATGGTTAAAATAATAAACTTTGTTATATAAATTTTAGCACAATTAAAAACATACTGCTAAGAGAATGAAACAACAAGCTCCAGACTGTGAAAAGTATTTGTAAAGCATACATCTGATGGAGGATTGTGTTAGCACATATAAAGAAATCTCAAAAGTCATTAGGAAGGAAAAGCAATCCAATGACAAAATGGCAAAGATGTGAACAGAAACTTTAGCAAATAGGATATAATGATGGCAAAAAAGCACACAGAGAGATGCTCAGCATCATTAGCCATTAAGAAAAGGCACATTAAAACAACAGGGAGGCATCACTTCACACCTCTCAGAACAATCACAATAAATACTGACAATACCAAATGCTGACAAAGATGTAGAGCAAGTCAACTTTCATACACCATTGGTGGGAATGGAAAATGGTTTGGCAGTTTCATATAAAGTTAAATGTGCACTTACCATATGACCCAGTAATCCCACTTCTAGATATTTACCTTAGAGAAATAAAAACTTATGTTCACACAAAAACCTGCACAAGAATGTTAATATCAATATCATTCATAAAGACCATAACCTGGAAAAACCCAAATCCACTTCAATATGTGAATGGATATGGAATATCCATACAATGAAATGGGACTCCACAAAAATGAATGAGTTATTGATATGAACAACAATTTAGATGAGTCTCAAAAGCATTATGCTGAGTGAAAGAAGCCAGTCTCACAAGATTACACACTGCATGATTCCATTAATATGACAATCTCTAAAAGACGAAGCAAAAGTAATGAAGATACGTGATTGCCAGGAACTTGGGGGGAGCGATGGAGTGAGTCTAAAGGGGGAAGAGTATGAGAGTTTGCCTGAGTAATGGAGCTGCTCCCTCTCTTGATTGTGGTGGTGGATACATGAAATCTACATGATTTACAATCCACAGAATTGTACACCAAAAAAGGCCCCATGCAATTTTACTGTAATTTCATTTCAAAATGCTAGTTATGATATAATCATCACCATCATCAACAGTTTTACTGATTAATGATATTCAGAATTATTTGTGCAATGGGATCTAAAATTCAGCTAGGACAATGTAGGTCTGGTACAGTAAAGCTAGAGAAGTAAAAACAAAACTAAATGTAAAATCTTGACAACTTCTAACTGCACTTTAATATTTCATATCAGGACAATATGCTCTCTCTAGTTCATTTCCTGGAAACATATATAGTGAATATGTAATTAAATAAGTGCTCAAGTTAGAATCTGGAACCCTAGTTTACATTCCTAAATCTAACACTGTAAGAAAACTCTCGACTTGCCTTTTGTGCCTAATTTTATCTTCCTCTTCATTGAGGTCATGTACTTGTCTGCACTTGTCTTTTTGTGGTATGCTGTGAAGGTTTAAAGCAAGGAGTTTCAAAGATAGGAAACAGAACAGAGACATACACCCATCCCCCACCCCAATAGTAGGTACTGCTCTGATTTCCATGTATTACCTCACTTAAACTTCCTAACAACTCCACATCACAGAGAAAGAGCTAAAGTGTAGAAAGGTAATGTGATCAGCATTTCACAGTAAGTGGGGGAGCCAGGTTTTTCCCAGACAGTCTGCTTCCAGAGCCTATGTTCACACTCAGTAAGCCATGGTATCTCTCCACAGAAAGCTGTTCATCTGTTCCTTTCTCCCTTACCACTGTCCTGGCAACTGTATAGCTTATCTTTAACACCATTCAATCACTCACATGACCTTAACATACAGACACAGTTCGGATTTCTCTCCTAGGCTTCATTGCTTCATTTCTGCATCAATATCTGCATATACTAATCCCACCATCTTCACAAATTCAGTCTGTTTAAATGAAACACATTACCTGTCTTCAGACTTAATTTTTTGTACTGTTAAGTCACACACCTCTGAAATATCTGCATTATCTCTCCATATTCCTCTCTACTTCATTCTCAGTATCAATTCTTCATGTCATATCACTCACATACAAATCCACCTCTCCAGTTCCACTGTCATCGTCCCAGTCCAGATGCTGATAACTCAGTGACTTTAATGCCATTCTTTCTTTCCTCTTTCTAATTCTTTCTCGGCCACTACATTTATCATTTCCAAAAAGAGCTTTTATTATCTTACTATATTCAAATGCACTAACTGAACAAACAAACTCCACATGTCTCTGTATTATCAAGCAAATAAGAGTCAAGAATTCTGAGCTACCTTTTCAAGCTGATCTCTTAAAAAATGCCCCCAATCAACAATGTTCACACCAATCACTGCAACTGAAATGCTACTCCCTCTCCTGTCCACTAGATAGGGTTAAGAGTATTTCAATCTTACCTCTTCTGAGGCCTTCTTCAGTCATACCAATACAACTCTGAACTTCTGTGGCACTGAGCCAATATATCTAACATTACTGCTAAAGGGTACATGTGTGCATCTCCATGCCAATTAGTACAAGACTAGGAACCATTTCTTAAACCCTTTCTGTGAACCTTCTACCATGCCGAGTAAACTTAACTGCTACACGAATTCTTTCTGGCTAAGATACATACTGTTTATGTATATATTTTGCATTACTTTACAATCTAGTCTAAAGACCCATCACAATCGCACTTTATTTCCCCTTCATGTGTCTGACATTATTCCCTGCCATACCCTATTTTGCTGGCAAACTGAACTTCTCACGGTTCCCCACATATACCAGGTCCTTTCACAGTATGACTCCTATCCATCCAGTAGCTGTAATGTCCTTTTCCCTTTACAGTCAAAAGAATGCCTGTTGCTCTGTTAAGATAGTACAAATGTCAACTGCTGACTCCCCCAATTAGATTCGGATGCTTCGTGTTCTATGCCACCTTGGCGTTTGATTCAACTCTTTATAACACTTTCAATGGTGTCATGCAAGTAACTATATATATACTTGTGTCGCTCATGGGACTCTATATTTCTCAGGAGTAGTAACATCTTGTCTTTCACTAATTCCCCATATCTAATGCCCTGACGTTAAATCTTTCTTTCAGCTAAAGAACACTTCAGAAGCAGTTAGGATCCCATACCTTGGTAATAAAGAGCCTTAAGGAAGGAGTGACGATCAGTTCCCTGAAATAAAGACTTTTCAATTTCCATTTCTCGCCTGGTCAGTTGTTTGCTCTTTGAAAACCTCTGTGGCAGGCAAAGGATGCGCTGGCGCTCTGAGATCCTTTCTTCAATATCTTGAAGCCGTTTCTGTATTGCTTCAGGGGTGGCCCTCAGCTTTGTCCTCTGAAACCAGGAAAATTAGATGCTTTGTATCATAAAGAACAAAAGTAAAACTGAGCCCTCACTTAAGAAGATGAGAAAGGCCCAGAAATTGGAAGTGTTTATGTAAGTTTTAGTTAAAGGTTAGCCAACAACTTCTCTTTAGCCGTTGTTTCTACCTTAAAAACAAAAGATTCAGACTAACACATGGTTTCATAAAAACTAAGAACATAAATGTTCTCAAACACAAAAAAGTGAGCACATGCTGGGGAGTTCAGCTGTGCCCACTTGCAAATGATCACCCCAACAGGACTGGTCGGTGGTTTCCATACCCCAGCATAGAGGCACAGAGTTGGGCATGAGATTGTTCTCTAGAGAGAGGCTTGTAAAGCTATAAGAAAGCCCTCACTGGTGCTGGGTAAGACTTCCCAGGCACAGCTCATTGCAAGAGTGCCCACACTCCTGGAAGTAGCCCTTGTCCTAGCTTTAAAGCTCCTGTAGGGAAGGAATTTTATCAACACAGGCACACACATACATAAATGAAAATAAATACATCCTTTTAAGAAAACAGCTTTTTTACCTTTTCACCTGAAACATGGCTTTTCCAGATCAGTATTTCTGTTTCATTGAGCCCTAGTTCCCTGAGAGAAGCGGTTTCCTGGTCTTTTTCATGTAGTGTCTGGAACTGGGATAAAGTCATTGTCCCGGCTACTTCCTTCCCAAAGGGCTTGTACATGGTACCCGGGGCAAAGCTCTCTTTCTTAGAGACACATCTGCAAAACACAGAAGAAGAGAATAAGACCATCTTGTGGTTACAATTCACAGTAACCACATTACATATTATGATGAGGCCGCCTATTATTATAGGCCCAGTGAAGCTCATAGGCAAGTCTCTCTTACATTCTTTTGCCAAGGTGAAGCACCATGGTAACAGAATGGAGTTCCATGAATAGTCCCCAAATATCTAAGACTAATAAATGACTAAATTAACGTTTACTGAGTTCCCCCTATGCACTGCATGCTGTGTTCTGTACTGAGAGATAACAGTAAAAAGAAAACAAAAATAATGGGGCTAGAGAGATAGGAAAAAAATTAAGAGCTCTTATTGCTCTTGTAGAGGATCTGGGCCAGTTCCCAGCACCCACATGGCAGCTCACAACCATCTCCAACTCTAGTTCTAGAGGAATGAAAACCCTCTGGCCTCTGCAGGCAATGGCACACATGGTTCACGTTAACTCCCCCAACATCCCCCCCACACAAACAAAATAAATCCTCTATTAAAAAAAATATCAAAAGAACAGCCACCTATATAAAGAACAGCATAAGGGAGGCAACTAAATAGGAAATGACCATATAGAATTATATATACCATGTTAGGGGAAATACAGGATGTTATACTAGGACACAGTAAAAGTACTTGGTCCTGGCTGAGGAAGATACAGGAAGCTTCCTACAAAAAGGGAAAAAAGTAAAATCTGACCTGTATAAAGAGGTCTTCCTAAGAAAGAGGCTGTGTGAGAGTGGAGGGCTCCCACCAGGCTTTAAGACTGATGTATAACCTACAGGTGATGGTCTATTATAACTGCCCTGTTTACAAATCGATACTCACTCTTGAATGGAGACAGAGGTATCAAGTTGATGTTGAAGGAGGCTCTTCAGCTGCCTCTCACCTTCTGTTTCCAACTCCTCCAGGACATGCTCTTCATTCTTCACACAGCTATTTATCCTGGAGCAGATGTGAAACACACACACACACACACACATGCACGCACGCATGTGCACACACACACACATACACACACACGGAAAGTAGAAGAGACGTAATCCGAAATATATTCTCTTCATCTATATTACCTATCAGTGATCCCTTTGTTTAAAGATATTTTTTCACTGTTCCACCACCCTGAATATTCATTACACAAACATTTACTAAATGCCTATGTACACAACATGTATTGTACTAGCTACTTGTACTGGCTCGTTTTATGTCAAATAACACAAGCCAGAGTCATTTTGGAAGAGGGAGCCTCACTTGAGAGAATGCCCCCACCAAACTGGCCTATAGGCAAAGCCTATGGTGTATGTTCTTGAATGATAATTGACACGTGAGGGCCACACGGTGTGTGGTGTCAGCCCTGGATAGGTGGTCTGAGATCTGTCAGCTGGAATGAACCCTTTCTTCCCCAAGTTGCTTTTGCTCAAGGCATTGTGTCACAGCATAGAAAACTTAACTAAGACAAGCTATTCCAAGCATAGTTTTGATCGAGGGAATTCTAATATATTTAGGGAGAAGATATACATACTCTTGTGCTGTGTACACGTGCCTATAAAGGAAAGGAAGCCGAATAAACAATGATAGAGAAACATGCCCAAATGAGTAAAGGTTTGCAGAAGAAAGGGATAAATGGGAGCTAAAATGGCAGAGAAGATTTCAGAAAGGTATTCTTAAATTGGTGCTAGAAAGACAGGGTGTGACAAAGAAAAGGTGAAATGGGAAGTCAAATATGAAAAGACAAAAACACATACTGTGGCATAATGGAATTGAGGCTTTGAACTACTGAACTAGGGATTCTGGGCCAGACCTGAGCACACGGGTATTAGAAAGCAATTTATCATGGCAATAGGTGTCAAAGAGTAAGCAGTGTTTTAGGCCATATAAACTGGAAGGTAAACTAGAATAACTAGTTAGGAAACTGTTGAGGTAAAAGGCAATGAAGTTCCAGACTAGAGCAGTAATAGCAGAAATATAAAGGAGGGATAACAAGAGAGAAATCTTCTGGGGGATGATGGTAAAAGAAAGTAGAACAAATCAATAAATAATAAATAATAACACTCAAATTTCAAACTCTTGGTACGGTACAAATTTCAAACTGTTGCTACAGTTTGACAGAATGTGGGTAGCAATAAAGGAAAAGAGCTCCAGACGAAATAAACACCTAGGACAGGGAAAATCAGTGTCATAAATACCTATACTGAGTTGTCCAAATCTTACGACTCTGAAATGCGGCATGAAGTACACTTCCAAGACACGGAGTCTGAGGGAACAACAAAAACGGCTGGCTACAGGCAGGACAGTCTGAGGTTGAACATACAGACAGGGTTTTTTTTTCCCCCAGACAAGGTTTCTCTGTGTATCTTTGGCTGTCCTGGAACTAACTCGAACTCAGAGATCCGCCTGCCTCTGCTTCCCTGAGTGCTGGGATTAAAGGTGTGCGCCACCACCACCACCACCGGCTCATAGAGAACTCTTAAGCCACCTGTGTCCACAAGACCTGAAGGCATTGGAGAAGAACTTCTGAAGGAAGAGCAGAAAAATACAAAGAGTGTCTTAATAACTTTCTAGCCCAGACACTCCTTTGGAGAAAAGTGGATCATGGCTGTGAGCCAGTCTCAAGCAACTGAAAATTCTTCCTCGAGTATCAAGAAATAACACAAACATTTAACATGTAATCACAGACTAGACAAAAACAAACACAAAATGTGTCAAATCCATGAGAAAAACAAATACTACATTTCTTACAAAACATAAATATTACGTTTCTTATGAAATGGACATTGTCTACCAGGGTTTATAATAAAACATAGGAAAATCCATGTAATTATGATTCCTATAATGACCTGGACCTATATTTAAAAACTCTAGAATAACTTACTTTGGCACTAACGCTTAAAAAAAAAAAACTCTTTAAGCCTTTCTATCTTTATTACGTTGAATCCCAAAGTTATTGCTAAATTTAATTTTTAAAAATGAATAAGCATATCAACACATATAAATCTATAGAAAAATACTGTTTTAAAAAAAGCTTGCTACAGAAAAAGAAAGGCAGTATGTTCCCATTTATATAAGGCTAAATAAAACCAGATGAAACTAGGAATATTTTGTTCAGGGATTAAACTCATATGTGGTAAATATATCAAGAAACAAAACAAAAACAGGCAAGGGAGTGTTTGGCAGTGGTGGAGCACACCTTTAATTCCAGTACTCAGGAGGCAGAGGCAGGTGTGAATCTCTGTGAGTTCGAGGCCAGCCTGGTATACAAGATCTAGTTCCAGGACAGGAACCAAAAGCTACGGAGAAACCCTGTCTCGAAAATCCAAAACAAGGCAAGGGAGTAATTGGTGCAAAATCCTAGCTAGAAGGGGGAAACAATCAGGGGAGAAGCAGGGAGACTGTTTTAAGGTATGTATGGGGATGATGTCCTACAGCTTACACCTGTACAGGGTACAGCCCTTTTTGATTATTCTTTAAGATCTACGTTAGATCCATTATTTTTCAAGTAGGAGGTATGTCATCAAAAAATAGTTAAAATGTGATTTTAACTTAGGGAGGGAAATCAATAACTTAAAAGAAAAATTCAGGAAACTAAGAAAGCAGAAAGTATTCCTAAAGGGGTTAGTTGTGCCATACCGTCCCAGAGTGAAGACTCTCCTGCAGAATGAATCTTCTAAAACTACAGTGGACTCTGAAGGATTCCTGTCCTGTCAGGAACTGTGAAGCTCTGGGTCTCAAGGAAGACCCTTTCAGGTTCAAAGGGCCATTTCCTGCAGAACCGGTAGGGGAAACTGCCCTGCAGCAATACCTTCCTTCTCCCAAAACACGCCGGTTTTGAGCTGAATTTGGAGAAACAAACTACCACTCTCTAACTTTAGATCCGAAAACAAAGGCCCTGCGTGGCCGGCCCACTATGTCTTTAAAATCCAGACAATGTAAGCGCCCACCCTGAGACCCTCCGGAGGGTGAGACCTAGGAAGGACGGGCTAGGAAGGAGCTGACTCCCACGTCTACAGAGCTAGGAAAGTGCTAGCCAGGGCAGCTCCAGAGGCCTCTGCCCAGAGGGAAGCATTCCTACAAATCCGCCTGGCCTAGGCCCTTCCAGAGCACCAACAGACTGGTGAGGCCCGCCTTCCCTCCACCCTTCTCCTTTGTCTTCTCGCTAGAAAGAACCCGCCCCTCGAGAACCTGACACATCCCAAACGAAAGGAAAAGGCCGTTTTCAAAAAGTAAAAGATAAAAGTTGCCGCCTGCAACTCGGACATGCCCTTACCTCTTCATGTTTCCGCAGGCCCCTATCACTAACTTGGGCAAACAGGCCCCAGACCTCAACTCCCAGAACTCTATGCGGCAGACTCAAGGTGATGGAGGTGGAGCGAGGGACTCTGGGAATTGTAGTAGAACAGAACTATGTGGTGATGGAAAGAGAAAGCAGGTATTGGATGCACCTGTATTGTGTAAATTAACTGAACAGAGAATTCTCAACAGAAGAAGTTCAAATGGCCAAAAGACACTTAAGGACATGCTCAACTTCCTTAGCAATCAGGGAAATGCAAATCAAGACAACTTTAAGACACCACTTTACACCTGTCAGAATGGCTAAAATCAAAAACTCCAATGATAGCCTTTGCTGGAGAGGCTGTGGAGGAAGGGGTACCCTCTTCCATTGCTGGTGAGAAAGCAATCTTGTGCAACCACTTTGGAAAGCAGTGTTTCGGTTTCTCAGGAAATTCGGGATCAACCTACCCCTGGACCCAGCAATACCACTCTTGGGAATATACCCAAGAGATGCCCTATCATATGACAAGAGCATGTGTTCAACTATGTTCATAGCAGTATTATTTGTAGTAGCCAGAACCTGGAAACAACCTAGATGTCCTTCAATGGAAGAATGGATGAAGAAAGTGTGTAATATATGCACATTAGAGTACTACTCAGCGGTAAAAAACAATGACTTCTCGAATTTTGCATGCAAATGGATGGAAATAGAAAACACTATACTGAGTGAGGTAACCCAGACCCAAAAAGATGAACATGGGATGTACTCACTCACAATTGGTTTCTAGCCATAAATAAGGGTCACGGAGTCTACAATTGGTGAACCTAAAGAAGCTAAGTAAGAAGATGAACCCAAGGAAAAACATATAGTTATCCTCTTGGCTATGGGAAGTAGACAAAATTGCCAGGGAGAAATTTGGGATCTTGGGGGTGGGGTGGGATGGGGGTAAGGGGAGATGGGGAGAGAAAAGGGGGAAGGGGAGGATAGGGGGAACTTGGGGAAAAAGGATGATTGGGATAAAGGAAGGTTGGAGAGGGGAGCACAGAAGCACAATTTTTAGTTAAGGGAGCCACCTTAGAGTTGGCAAGAGACTTGAACCTAGAGTGGCTCCCAGAAGCCCAAGGCAATGTCCCCAGTTCGTTCTCTGGGCAGCTGAGGATAGGAAACCTGAAATGACCCTATCCTATAGCAATACTGACGAATATCTTGCATATCACCATAGAACCTTCATCTGGTGATGGATGGAGATAGAGACAGAGACCCACACTGGAGCACTGGACTGAGCTTCCAAGGTCCCAATGAGAAGCAGAAGGAGGGAGAACATGAGCAAGGAAGTCAGGACCACGAGGGGTGCACCCACCCACTGAGACAGTGGGGCTGATCTATTGGGAGCTCACCAAGGCCAGCTGGACTGTGACTGAAAAAGCATGGGATAAAACCGGACTCTCTGAACATGGCGAACAATGAGGGCTGATGAGAAGCCAAGGACAGTGGCACGGGGTTTTGATCCTACTTAATGTTCTGGCTTTGTGGGAGCCTAGCCAGTTTGGATGTTCACCTTCCTAGATATGGACGAAGGGGGGAGGACCTTGGACTTTCCACAGGGCAGGGAACCCTGACTGCTCTTTGGACTGGAAAGGGAGGGGGAGAGGAGTGGGAGGAGGAGGAGAAGGGTGGGAGGAGGGGGAGGGAAATGGGAGGCTGGGAGGAGGCAGAAACTTTTTTTCCTTTTTTTCAATAAAATAAAAAAAAAATTTCTAGTACAGGTTAAAGATAACACCCAAAATATACACTTCATAAGCCTGGGATTCACCTTTGGCTTCTTGACTCTTCGAGTATCAATAAATCCTAGAATTTCTCCAGTCATCTTCGAATTTGTTCTTTTTTTTTTTAGCGATACAGAACTTATTTTATTTTTTCTTTCTCTTTTTATTATTATTATTACAAATTTTCACCTCCTCCCTTCTTCCCATTTCCCCCCTCCCCCATTCCCCTCTCCCTCCTTCTCCAGTCCAAAGAGCAGTCAGGGTTCCCTGCCCTGTGGGAAGTCCAAGGACCGTCCCCCTCCATCCAGGTCTAGGAAGGTGAGGATCCAAACAGACTATGTTCCCACAAAGCCAGTACATGGAATACAATCAAAACCCAGTGCCATTGTCCTTGGCTTCTCAGTCAGCACTCATTGTCAGCCACGCTCAGAGAGTCCGGTTTGATCACAGGCTCCATCAGTCCCAGTCCAGCTGGCCTTGGTGATCTCCCATTAGATCGGCTCCACCGTCACAGTGGGTGGGCGCACCCCTCGTGGTCCTGACTTCCTTGAGCACAACCGAATTTGTTCTTTTTAACAAGGCTTGTCTTTCAAGGATTTATCTGACCTACCTGCTGTTCCCAGTCAAGCCTATGATCTGACCACATCACTTGCACTAATGCTTTTCTCGTATCTGTAACAGATCCTTCTGAATTCCCTTAGTTCAAAGTCAGAGTCAGTAGGTACCTAGATGTCTGAATATCTTATTGATAAATATAATGAATAAAGAATTAGATATAGTAGGAGCTGGAGAGAGAGGGCACTTGTTTCTCTTTCAAAGAGCCCAAGTTCAATTCCCACAGCAGCTCACAGTCGGCAACCTCAGTTCCAAGGATCTGATGCCTGTTTCTGGGGTACCAGATACACACGTAGTAACACAGATACATGCAGACAAAACATGCATACACAGAACATAATTTTTTTAAAAGCTACATATAGAAAAGTGCTTAAAAGCATTGGTTCTTGGGTTTAGAGATGTAGCTCAATTCGTAGAATGCTTTGAATACTTGTTTGGCTAGGTAAGAAGTTCAAGGCCAGCCTGAACTACATAAGACCACTTTCAAAACTAGCAACATCAATAACAAAAACAATAAAAGCATGTGTTCTTAGTGGCCAAAAAAGAAATGCAAATATCACTAAACATATGGAAAGGATGATGTTAATTTATAAGAAGGAAATTTCAAGCTACATTACATAATTTAAGGCCAACCAGGTCTACATAGAGACTCTCTGAGAAAAAAAAATCAACAAAAATAAACAAAAGTAAAATATAAAACAAAGTGCAGTGGCCACCTGTACTTCTCCAAACTACAAAGGCCATAAACCAATGAGAATTCTGAGACTCTGTCATGCATATGAGGAAACAAGGGAAAGATGATTTCGAAATGTGCTGTAGGATTCTGAAACAGGAAGAGGACACTAGGCAAATGTGAAGAAACTATACTTTCTATTTAATAAGGTTCATTAGTGACAAAGACACTGTGCTGTGCAAGGTGTTAACACTAAGTAAAACTGAGTGGAAATATATGAAACAGTAGAGTATGAAGCTTTTATGTAAATCTAAAACTATTCAAAGAATAGAATTTTTTAAAGTATCCTAATTAGCACTTTTTTTACTTACTATATTGGAAAGGAATTAAAAATGATAATACATTTGTTTTGTTGACATTCTGGTGAAATGAGCACTCTCAAATATTGCTGGTAGGAGGAAAAATTGGTACAACCTCTACTAAGAGCAACTTGATGTACCTATTGAAATTTAAATGCACATTTTCTTCAAAGCAGCAAGTCAATACATCTGCAAATATGATTGTCAATACAATAAATACTCATCTATATGCGTCACTGTTCAATGCTCTCTGTGGCAGAATACTGGGGAAAAACAAGTGTCTAAATACATTTAATGAAATCTGTATAATGATGAAGAGGGGGTACAGTCCTCAGGATTATTACAGTCTTGAAAATATAGCTAGGGAACTCGCAAGTTTCAGAATACCATATAGTATGCTTATGTTTGTGTAAAAGGTGGAATATGTATGTGCCTGCATATGCATGAAATATCTCTGTGAGAACGTATGACAGGGAATGCCTCCAACTAACAGAACTCAATGATTGAAGGACAAGAACAGAAAGAAAAAAACTCAACTAAGTTATTCATATGTTCTTTTCCTATAGAAATTTTTGTCCTTATGTTGAGACAGGATTTTGTATGAAGCTCAAATTGGTCATTAACTTCTGATCTTCCTGCCTGAGTCTTCCAAATACAGGGATTACAGATGTGTGCCAAGCATGCGCTTATAGCCTTTGAGGTTTTTGTTTATTTTGTTGGTTGGTTTGGTTTTTAGAGATAGGGTTTCTCTGTGTAACAACTCTGACAGTCCTGGAAGTCTTGTTGTAGACAGGCTGGCTTCAAACTCAGAGATCCACTTGCTTCTGCCGCCTAAATGCTGGGATTAAAGGCGTGTGCCACCACTGTCCCTGTCCTTTGAATTTTTATTTTTTATCATTATTATTATTTGGTGGTTTTCAAGACAGGGTTTCTCTGTAGCTTTGGGGCCGGTCCTGGAACTAGCTCTTGTAGACCAGGCTGGCCTCGAACTCAGAGAGATCCACCTGCCTCTGCCTCCCGAGTGCTGGGAGTAAAGGTGTGCAATAACTGTATGACTGTCTCACCTAGTGTCCTGGGTGGCTTTCTGTGTCAACTTGACACATGGTATAGAGTCATCAGAGGAAGGCGCCTCAGCTGAGGAAATGCCTCCTTGAGATCTAGCTGGAAGGCATTTTCCCATTTAGTGATCACTGGGGGAGGGCCCAGCCCATGGTGGATGGTGCCATTTCTGGACTGGTGGTCCTGGGTTCTATAAGACAGTGGGTTGAGCAAACCATGGGAAGCAAATCAGTAAGCAGCACTGCTCCACAGCCTCTGCATCAGCTCCTGCCTCTGGGATCCTGGCGGGTTTGAGTTCCAGTTCTGACTTTCCTCAGTGATGAACATCAATGCTGAAGTGTAAGCCACATAGACCTTTTCCTCCCTTTTTTCCCCCTTTCTTGTTTATTGTGGAATTTAGATTCCTTTAGCCACTTTTGGGAATTACCAACCTTAGGGCATGGTCTTGTCTGTGGACTTGACAAGCTGAGTGGGGGCGGGGGGGGGGGTCTCTCGAGCTCTTGCTCTCAGATCCCTTGGGTGATGTAGACGGGGTCAGGCAGCATGAAGTGGCATGTGGTCAGTCCCCAGATCTAT